TTCTTTGTGAATGTGCCCCTGCTCCCATTCCATCACCTTGCCCCTTGAAGGCTCTGGGGCAGGAGGATTGTCCTGCCTCAGAGCTGGAGGTTGTGGTGGGGGAACAGCCTCCCCTTGGCTCTCCTTTGCGGAGGGCTTGACTGGGACTTGCGCTGCCCAGCTTTCAGCCTTATTTATTTAATTTATTCGACTTAGACACTGCCCGACTCCGAATGACTCTGGGTGGGTTACAGCATAAAAACAGCACACACACAATAAAAAATGAACATAAACCCATAAACAAGATGACAAAACAAACATATCATACACCCAACAATGGGCTTTGTGCACCCTAGCCCAGGGCCTGGGAGAAGAGCCAGGTCCAGAATGCCATCAGGGTGGGAGCCATCCAAAACCTTGGGAGAATCTCATTCCAGAAGGTGGGTGCCGAGACAGAGGAGGCACGTTTCCATGGTCCTTCCTTAATCGAAAGAAATGGAGTGCGCCAACCCTGTTGGGTTGAACTGGATGGGCCAACACCACTGGAGACAGGCATCCCTCAGGTATCCAAGCCCTACACCATGTAGGGCTTATAGGTCATAAACAGCACCTTGAATTGCACCTGGATGCAAACTGGCAATTGATGCACCTCAAGAAGCAGGGATGTCACATGGGCATACCAAAGGATACCCATCACTGCCTGTGCCACTGTGCTCTGGACCAACTGATGCTTCTGAGTGATCTTAAAGGAGAGCCCCATGGAAAGTGTGCTGCAGTAGTTGAGCCGTGAAGTGACTAGGGTGTGAGTGACTGTCTGAAGGGCCTCCTGATCTAAGGAAAAGGTGCAATTGGTGCTCCAGAGGAAGCTGTGCAAAGGCCTTCCTAGCCATAGCTGCCACCTGCCCTATGAGCAGGAGTTGTGAGTCCAGGAAGACCCCCAGATTGCACATCACCCTTGAATGGAAAATGTTACCCCATCCAAGATCAGAGATGGAATATCCTCAGAATCAGGCGGTCCCAAAAACCATGGTCTTGGTAGGAGTGAGTTGGAGACACTTGAGGAGGATCTGATTGATTGATTGATTGATTGATTGATTTGATTTATTTGGCCACCCATCTCATAGCAGTGACTCTGTGTGGCATACACACAAACCATAACATATAACCCAAGGCGCTCCAGGTTAAAACAATAACCACAATAACAGAAAAGCATGTCAACAACAGCAGAGCTCACCTAACCTAACCTGGAGAGCACAGGGAATTGCCTTGAAGAGCTGCTACCAAGGCAATGGTCAGATAAGCAGGGCTTGAGCCCAGGCCAAGAAAGAAACTTGAGAAAACATCTCAGACAAGCCCCTCCCTAGTTCACATGAAAATAAAGTGAGGGAGGGGAAGGCACATTCAGACTTGCAAGACTCTATTTCTATAGCTGTTACAGTAAAAGTAGTCCTGACATGTATGGCACTGGTATCTTAGTCTGGTCTGCACTGTTGGGCTGACACCTCCTGGCTCAAACGCCTGGGGAAACAGCACCTCGGGAAAGGCTGGCAGGGTCGGCACCATCTGGAGCTCCACAGCGATGCTGTTCC